ATTTGTATTTCAGTTTCTGGACACCTGTACCAATGTTCTTGTTTAACAATGTAAATATTAACAATATTTATATCAGAGGAAGCTCTGCTATTTATAAGTTTATTATATCTGATAGTTGTGATATCTGCATTTACTTTTCCAAGCTATGCTTTTCCCAGCTATCTGTCTTAGAGATGTTTGTAAATAGTATGGGAAGTAGGACTGGAATGTGATTTTTGTTTCTTTATTTTAAAGAAACATTTTTTTTCTTGCTACCATATCTGAGAAACCAGAGACAATTATGTTGTTTCTTATTATGCCAAGAAACAGTATTTTTTCTGATTTATAGTAAACCTCTAGTTCATACCCTGACTTGAGTTTAATTTTTTTTATTTTTTTTTTATTTGGGGGGATAGGAGCTCGATGAGTACAAACTAAATTGCTTTTACCTAGGACCTGTCGTTGTTATTTTGGACACTTATGCAAACTTTAAACCCTGAGTTAGAATGTCACCTAAATCTTCTGTTTTACAACTCTTCTTTGAGAGATGCTATGCTATTTATTGCAGACCTGATAAGATGCTTTTTGGGGAGGGGCAGGGGGAACAGGACCGAAAAAAACAACCCACATGAACAAGAGTTGTCCCCTAATAAAGTTGCAGGGTTGGAGGGGGGGGTGTGTGGCATGGTTTTTTAGGTTTGGAGTATTTATTGTTTTTGTTTGTGGGGTTTTGTTGGTTTTTTTAATGTAAGAGATGAAACCAGTAATGATACTTTGAAGCCACTTAAACAGAACTTAGAGGTGCCTTGTTCTGTATTCTGAGGCAGCCGTTCCCATCCATGCCTTGTCTCCTGCTGCAGACTGTGAAGTTCCCAAACTTATTTAACGTGTGGTAGTTCAACTGGGAATGAGTCTCTGAGTTCTGAGGAGAAAAGAGCATCTCTGAATCCTTTCAAGGGTAATTTGATCACAACATTATTCTCAGACTTTTAGTTATGGCTGATAGAATGGAAATATCCATACAGGCAGGGGTTTTTTTCCTCATGACAATGAAAAAATCATTAATTCAGTCTTAAAGCATCATGTAAAAGGGAAGGAGAGCAACTGAAAACACGGTCTGAAGGTTCAGAATATTTCAGTTTCGAAACAAGTAAGGTGCGTTTGTTAGCCAGATGTTTTCCACTATTTTTAATATACAGATAATCTCCCTAAGGAAAAACACGTATAACAGAAAGATTCCTGTGTCATGCTGCAGGGATCTTTATATATAAAGCTTATTAAGAAGCATGGATGGATTTATTAGGAAATCAGGTGGAAAAACACTGATCTCTGTAATACCAAAAAGAGTGTTTCATGTAAATTATGGCATCTTTATCCTTTTTTGTTTTCTCATTTGGACTAACATACCTAGCTTATATGTTTAGCAGGTATACAGATTGTCCATGTAAAAATATCAAGAAACCACTATATCTCACTGAGATTTTTGTGTTCCATATCCTGGCTTCTTCCCACTC